ATATTACTGCTTTAGTTTAAATGCTGTTTAGTTTGATACAAGTGTGGCTGTCCTTTCCTTTTAAAGTCTATCATTATCCTGTATGATTGTTTTCCATCTTCCCGTCTGAGCCTGCATTTATCATGAGCATTCAAGTGTGCCTTTTTTTTTTTTTTTGAGTCACACCTGGTGATGCACAGGAGTTACTCCTGGCTCTGCATTCAGGAATCATTCCCAGTGATGTTGAGGGGACCATATAGGATGCTGGAAATCTAACCTGGGTTGGCCACGTGCAAGGCAAATGCCCTACCTGCTGTGCTATCGCTCAAGCCCCTCAAGTGTACCTTTTTTAAGGAGCAGACACTTAGATTTTGTGTCCTAATCTAGCCACTCTGTCTTTTGATGGAAAGGTCAGTCCATTGACATTTAGAGACATTATTAATATGAGGGAATTTGTTGCCCTCTTTTCATCATTTTTGCCTTTGCATATTTGTTTATTTTATTTTTTAATAGTGATCTGATTAGTATTACTTGTAGAATGGTTTAGATGCAACAAAAGTCTATCTATTTGGGAATTTTTTTTATCGCTCCCTCAAATCTGAATGATAACCTTACAGAGTAGAGGATTTTTGATTGGAATTTCTTTTCATTCTCTACTTAAACATATAATTCCATTCTCTGGACTATGCGTTAATCCAGGCCATCATGTCTGCCCAGAGGGGAAAGGGTGTTGCCCCATTCGCCCTCTCTTCTCTGGAAAGAAAGATGGCGGCTGCATGGGACAGCAGGTATGAGCTGGGGGTGTGGGCGTGACTAAAACCTCATGGGAAGGGGGCGTTCTGGTCCGTCCTTCACGCCCTACCGAGGCCACCAGTTGCCCCCCACGAGCAGCTCTCCAGCACGGCCACAGCCCCAGAAGCACAAGGACTTAATGCAGAACCCAGCAGCTTGGAGCAGAAAAGGGAACGGACTGTGCGTTAATCCAGGCCATCAAGTCTGCCGGAGGGGAAAGGGTGTTGCCCCATTTGCCCTCTCTTCTCTGGAAAGAAGGATGGCGGCCGCATGGGAGCCTTGTGGACAGCAGGTATGAGCCGGGGGTGTGGGGGCGACTAAAACCTCATGGGAAGGGGGGTGTTCCGGTCCACCCTTCACACCCTACCGAGGTCACCAGTTGCCCCCCATGAGCGGCTCTCCAGCACGGCCACGACTCCAGAGCACAAAAACCAATTTCTTAACTATCTGACTTTCAGTAGAAATACTTCCAGGTTCAATAAGTAAAATAGCAGAAATCCAAAACCAACATTTAATTCTTGAACCCAGCTGTAGAAAGCAAATCACTTCACAATGCTTTTTCAGCATGTCTGATTTGGGGGAAGGTAAACTCTAAATAATAGTGGTGAATCTTTTATTGAAACAATGAATCTAATCAAAGCAGATAGAGTCCTAACTAGAATTCATCTGCCTCACAGGGACTGGGAGGGGTGGGGGGTGGGGTTTTATTGGGGTTCTTCATGGTAAAAAATAAGTATTGGTAAAGGGAAATGTGTTTGATATTTGCATGACTGAGACCTAAACCTGAAAGCTTTGTAACCTTTCCTACAGTGATTCAATAAATAAAGAAAGAAAAAAAGAAAAAAAAACATATAATTCCATTCTCTTGCTTAGAGTTTTATTTGAGAAATAAGAGTGGCTGTGATAGAATTTCCCTTAATGTCAATGCTTGCTTATCTCTTGCCATTTGAAGTGGTCTTTCTCTTTGTTTCTCGCTGTTATGATTACCTTGTGCCTTTTTCCTGTTTAGGTCTATTAAATTTTTTTTGTTATTGTTTTTTATTTTAGGCCATACCCACTAGTGCTCCAGGCTTACTCCTGGCTCATTGCTCTGGAGTCACTCCTGCTGAGTGAGCTTAGAGGAATACATGGAGTGCTAGAAATCAAATTCAGGTCAGCTGCATACAAGGAAAACTTTGTACCTGCTGTATTACATCCCTGGTCCTGTTTATGTTTACTTGAAACTTTTTGGGCATCCTGGATCATAAAGTTTGTCTTTATTCTCAGATGGAAGAAGTTCTCAAATATTGTTTCTTCTAGTAATGATTCTTCTCCTCTGTCTCAGGAATCTTATGTTGGATTGGTTCCTCTTAATATTGTCAGATATAGTTCTTAGTTTTCTCCTCTACTTTTCTCCTTTTCTCTCACCACTTTATTGAAGGTGTACTGTACCTTGCAACTTTTCTCTGTGGAGACTTATTGAATTTAGGGTTCTTCCATTGTGCTGTTGAGTCTTGGTTCTATAACATGTAGCATCTTCATTTATCTTGGATGAGTTTTCTCATTTATAACATCAAATTATTTGAGCATATGTATTGTTCTAATGATCTTCTTTTTTAATATTGTCTAACATCAAGGGATTGTTGTTCTTTAGTCTCATGGAAAGTTTAGTAAGATTTGATGTAGTTGAGGATTTCCCTCTATTTTCATTCCCACCTTTTGATATACTGAATTCCTTCATTTTTAGGTTGTTTCTTTGTTTGAAAATTTTTTTATTAGTGAATAACCAGTTATTCACTGTACAGTTACAGATTTACAAACTTTCATGTTTGCATTTCAGTTATACAGTGATCGAGTACCCATTCCTCCACCAGTGCCCATTTTCCACCACCAGTGGTCCCAGCATCCCTCCCACCACCTTTAACCCGTCCCCCTCTGCCCCACCCTGCCTCTGTGGAAGGGCATTCCCTTTTGTTCTCTCTCCCCTTTTGGGTGTTGTGGTTTGCAGTAGAGGTATTAAGTAGCCATCATGTTCCGTCTGGGCTGGAGCAAAGCACAGCAATAGGGCATTTGCCTTGTGTGCAGCTGGCCCGGCAGAGCCGGGTTCGATTCCTCTGCCCCTCTTGGAGAGCCCAGCAAGGTACCGAGAGTATTTCATCCGCACGGCAAAGCCTGGCAAGCTACCCGTGATGTATTCAATATGCCAAACACAGTAACAAGTCTCAGACGGAGATGTTACTGATCCCGTTCGAGCAAATCGAACAACGGGAGGACAGTGCTACAGTGCATGTTTGGTCTATAGTCTACTTTCAGCACGCATTTCCCAACCTGAGCAGGCCCTCCTAGCACCCTTTACTTGGTGGTCTCTTCTCTACCTGAGCTGCCTTTTCTGCATAAGAGCAAATGATGGAGTTCAAGCTGTTCTGTACTGATCTTGGGTTTCTGTAATAAGATCAAGTTGTTGCCTGTGACTTTCTGATTTCTAACAGCCATGGCTACTCTTTCACCAGTTTTAAAGGACTTGTGTAGTCTCAGCCATTGAACTCAGACCTATTGGTGATCATAGGAAGTTATCAGCTAAGTTACGTCAATCTTAGATGCCATACTTCAAATCAGAACAGCACTTCTTTGTCTTACTGACTGCATGCTTAGTAGCTCTGAACTTTCTATCTCCTGTGTCTTTCTTGATGGCTGCTGTATATCTTGTGAATACAGCTATCCTGACCTGCATTTTTAGCAGCCTGTGAATCACCAACAAAATATCTGCAGGTGAGCAACTACTCTGTAGCTTGTGTCCAGTTCCTTTTTCAGTTTCTGGTGACCTATGAATCACCAGAAGACTGTATACCCATGGGTACTTGTGCTTAAGTGCATGCCTGGCTGCTTTTCAGTGCCAGGGGAACCTGTGAACCTCCAGCAACCTGTCTGTCACAGGCCATCTGCACTAGAGTGTGCACCTGCCTGTTTCTTTACTCAAGACAAAATTGGCTCTGCTGTAATCTGCTGTTACCCAGGGACACTGTATTCTGTTAGTTTTCTGTAGGTGTACCTGATTCAGTCCTCGGTGAAACATCGGCCACATTGTGCCTTCTCCAAGTTTCCAAATGTGTCCCACAGCTTCACCATTAAAATGATGCGGAGGGGTGGAGGCGGGGTTGTGTCTGCAGATCCTATGCTGTGGCCTTTGCTGTCATCATGCTATCTCAGCTGGCTTGTTGCCTAGGACATGATCTCTATTTCCCCTTGTTCTCCAGGTTTCTTATGGACATGCCAGTATCCACTCGTATACAAACGTAGTACTATGGCCCCTTTGGTTCTGCTCACTGCTGTTACTCAACAAGTGCTTCAGCCTCTGTTCCCTCACTGATGTCACCATTTTCCTCCCTTGGAATGGTGGGGTACAGTTCCTCGATTGTCCTCCAGAGTGTTTCACAGTTTGCCACAGTGCCATAGTGGAGATACCCCTGCTGGTCACTGGTGTCTTGATTAATCTTCTGCAAACCATTGCACACACTTCTGTACTTAGGATTTTTTTTGTTTGTGGATCAGGAAGCTTTTTCATTTTGTTCCTTTCCTGCCATCTTTGTGAGATGTTTGTTCTTTTCTTTGACATTTAATAAAACTGCTATAGCATTTTCGGAGTCCATAGGAATTATATTAAATAATAACATGAGTTGTGATATATAATATGTCATAATACAGATTTCGGAAAGTAGAAAAATGCATTCCTACTCCCAATATAAAGAATTAGAACTTGTATCAAAACTTGTATCAAAATTATATTCAGAAAGTATTCTTTTGTAATCAAACCATAAGGTAAAGGTAAAGGTAAAGGCCCTCCCGTTGATCGTTGATTTGCTCGAGCGGGCCCAGTAACGTCTCCATTGGAGACTTTGTTGTTACTGTGTCTGGCATATCGAATACTCTCGGTAGCTTGCCGGGCTCTCCGAGAGGGGTGGAGGAATCGAACTCGGGTCGGCCATGTTGGCCGCTTGCAAGGCGAATGCCCTACCCGCAAAAACTATCAAATTATACATATTTTTGTATCATAAAGCATATAAAATAATGGATTACAGATGTTTGGTACAAATAAAACTAAAATAACCTGTGGAGTGGAAGGTAATTTTATATAAGTAATAATTTCCGTTGTATATTGAAGCTAATGTTTATTATAAAAGGTAAAAATTCCTTAATATGTCAGTGTAGTATTGAAGATTTTCATTGAAACTCTTTGCTTGTGTCTCTTTCAGATATGGAAACAAGTGAAAAAATTCAAGGAAGTGGAATACTTCAACTATTTGCAAGTCTATTGATTCCACAGTCTTCCTGCACTGTCAAAGTAGCTAACATCATAGCAGAAATAGCAAAAAATGGTGAGGTTTTTCCTCAAGAACTTTTCTGCTGGGAACGTCTTCAGTTTTGCACCTTACTTGTCAGTATGTTTTATTAATTTATGATTTAATTTTGTAGATTAGACATTTTAATTTCTCTTTATCTTTTGACTATTCATATAATTGTTTAGAATGACTATAACTCTATAATCATTCTATTTCTACATTCTCCATTTTCTGTTCTATCCTTTAATGTAGAATTGAGAGCTGGAGAGATAATATCTGGGTAAGATGCTATTCTTGGACACAGTTGACACATGTTTGATTCCTGGCATCCCATATTGTCCCCCTAGTGCCACCTGGAGTAATTCCTGAGAGCAGAGCCAGGGTAATCCTGGAATATTGCCAGGTGTGGCCCAAAAACAAACAAATTGGAAAAGAAAGGTAGAATTGGAGGGAATGTGTTTGTCCCTGCTCAATTGGATCATTAATTACCTACTTTGTTTCTTAAGGTTTCCACTGAGCCATTCATCTTCATTCTTATAAGAATTTAGTTTTTGCTTTTCTTTTTCTTTTTGGGTCACACCCGGTGATGCACAGGGGTTACTCCTGGTTCATGCACTCAGGAATAACCCCTTGCGGTACTCGGGGGACCATATGGGATGCTGGGAATCGAATCCAGATTGGTCGTGAGCAAGGCAAACGCCTTACTTGCTGTGCTATCACTGCAGCCCCAAATTTAGTTTTTTTTTATGCATGTGTTAGTTTATGTTACACCCACATAAATTGATCATCAAAAATAAAAAAGGGTCTGCCTTCTCTACTGACACTAGCACTTGACTGCAGTAACACAGTTGAAATATATGTTCTTTTTACTGCAGTCAGTCTTCTGTAAATTATTTATTTCTTAAGAATACTTTGGGATCATAGAGATAGTACTGGGGTTTGGTAGTTGCCTTGCATTTAGCCATCCCTGGCACATGCCAATTGTGTATTGAGACTTTGAGTTCAGATTTGATTCCTGCCACTGCAATATAAAAAGTTGGAAGAAAAGTGCTTTTCCAGTGCTTTCCAAGTTCAATAAAGTTCTGTTTTGAGGAATCATTTTTTGGTTGTTGACTGAAAACTGGCTCCCTATCCTTTATATGTTATATCTAGGTTACATAAGTATACATTCACTAAGTTTTGCTTTGAATTTGTTTTTGTTATAAATGTTCAGAAGTTTTTCTCTCGTCTTTGATTGGTATTTTGCTATATAACAATAATGGTATACTACTATTTATATACTATATTACCACTCTGGAAAATGGTTATCTTAGGGTAACAAAGAATTCCTGAAACAGATTTAGAGACAAAGGAGAAAAGTGCCTACCATAGAGTCAGACTTGTGGGAGGTTGGGGAAGATGGCAGGAGGGATAAAGGGGACATTGGTGGTGGGAAATGTACACTAGTGGAGAGATGGGTGTTAGAACCTTGTATGACTGAAACCCAATCATGAACAGCTCTGTGACTATCTCATGGTGACTCAATACAAAAATTAAAAGTTAAAAACACAGATTTATGAAATGAGACAGAAAGAGAGGGAGACATAGGAAGATTGCACTCATCTGTGGAATATAAAGTAATAGGATGGGAGACTAACACCCAAGAGTAGTAGAGATAAGGAACAGAGGTCTGCTCCACTGCTTGGAAACCGGCTTCACATTCTGGGGAAAAAGCAGCTCAGATAAAGAAGGAAACATCAAGTAAAGGGTGTTGGGAGGACCGTTTGGGTTGAAAGATGCATGCCAAAAGTAGACTGTAGACCAAACATGATGGCCACTCAGTACCTCTGTTGCAAACCACAACACCTAAAAGGAGAGGGAACAAAAGGGAATGCCCTGCCACAAAGGCGTTGGGGTGGGGGGTGGGGGGAAGGGGGCGAGGGATCGGGGGAAGGGATACTGGGATCATGTGGTCATTGGTGGAGGAGAATGGGCACTGGTGGAGGGAAGGGTACTCGATCATTGTATGACTGAAACACGAAAGTTCTTAAGTTTGTAACTGTACCTCACGGTGATTCACTAATAAAAAATAAAAACAAACAAAAACCCCACAGATTTAGTTTGAAAATGATGCATTCCAGATATTGTTTGCTTAAACTAGATCTATCAATGTCTAATTTTACATGGAAAGAATCTGATTTATTTTTAATTTCATTAGAATTTCAGATTTTGGGGAAGTCTAGCATCAAAAATTTTGGTTAGCAGAATTTTGTATAATAAACTTCCACTTTTATATTCTTTTTATGTTTATCAATATGATACTTTGTCACTTTCTTTCTGGGTTACTGGTGCTAGAGGTTGCTTGACAAGTGTGCTCAGAGACTGATTTTTAGTTTGATTTTTAGCGTTTAACCTTAAGGAGGTTTGTTAAGGGCATATAATAACCATTTGTTTAAAATAGCTGGGGTACATTTAAATGGTTTATATAACATAAAAGACTTAAAGAACTGTGATTTACGATGCTGTTGGTATTAATGTTCTAGGAATATCATGTTGCTGCTTATACCACAGCACCAAAATAACCACATCTCTCCACCTGTATCTCTTAAGTTCCTTCTCAACTCCCATTTCCCCTTCTTAGCAAACAGTTTTATAGGTGGGTTGTTACGGTCTGTTTCCACTGGCCATTGAATATTTCCTTAATATGTTTCTTTGCTCTCCGCATATGGAATCACTCAGTACTTACCCTTCTCCCTTTCACTCACTTAGCTTGGTAGGTATGATACTAGCCAATTCCATGTAAGGTGCAACAGACTGCAAAATTTTATCTTATAGATGAGTAGAATTTCATTGTCTATATGTGCCATAAAATTTCTTTATTCCTATTCATCTCTTCAGTTGGCTTTTTTCGAGATCTTAGCTACTGTGAATAGCACTGCAGTGAATATAAGAGTGCAAGTATCTTTTTGAATTAATGTTTTGTTGCCTATAGTTGCATGCCAAAAGAGGAATTTCTAGGCTGTATAGAAACCATCATTTTTTTGAAACATATTTATTTATTTATTTATTTATTGGCTTTTTGGGTCACACCTGGCAATGCACAGGCGTTACTCCTGGCTCTGCACTCAGGAATTACCCCTGGTGGTGCTCAGGGGACCATATGGGATGCTGGGAATCGAACCCGGGTTGGCTGCATGCAAGGCAAACGCCCTACCCGCTATGCTATTGCTCCAGCCCCTACACTGTTTTTTAATGTAGTTGAACCAGATGATATTCCTATCAAGAGTGAAGTTTTCTTTTTTATTTTTCACCACATCCTTGCCACCACTAATTCTTTCTATTTTTTTTGAAGTATGAAATTTTCACTGGTGTGAGTGATATCTCATTGCTTTTAAAATGTGTATTTCCCCAGTGAAAAGTGAAAATCAGTTCAACAAAGTGAAAAACTTTCCACATGCCTATTGGCCTTCTTTATTTGTTTTTTTTTTTTGAGAATGTTTATACATGATTACTATTTTTGTTGGGGTTGTTCATTTTCCTGTTTTTTTCTTCTTGGTTTTTTGCCATGTCCAGCTGTGCTCAGGACTTTATTTCTGGCTCTGCACTCAGCGGGGCTGGAGTGATAACACAGCAGGTAGGGTGTTTGCCTTGCACTCCGCCAACCCGGGTTCGATTCCTCCGCCCCTCTCGGAGAGCCCGGCAAGCTACCAGGAGTATCTCGCCCGCATGGCAAAGCCTGGCCAGCTACCTGTGACGTATTCAATATGCAAAAAACAGTGACAACAAGTCTCACAATTTGTTGTGAGATGTTACTGGTGCCCGCTCTAGCAAATCGATGAACAACGCAAGGACAGTCCTACAGTACTACAGTTCACTCAATGATCACTGCTGGTGGGCTTAGGGGGACTGTATGGAGTGCCAGGGATTGAACCTGGGTCTGTCACATGCAGGGTGATTGCTTTTTATTTCTCTGGCCCCAGTTGTTAAGTTTATTAGTACTTTTCTATTCCTCAGATACTGGATTTGTGATGAAAAAGTATTTTCTCTCACTGAGGGCATTTTTGTTTTAGTCATTGTTTTGCAGTGCAGAAATTTTTAATTTGATTAGTTCTATTTGTTTTATTTCTGTTCCTGTTTATTTTCCGGTGACATTAAGTTATTAAAGATACTTCTGAAGTTCATACTATAGAGAGTTTTGCATATGTTTTCCATAATGTAATTTATGACTTGGGTCTAATATCAAGAACTTTACTCCATTTGAAATTCATCTTTGTGGTGTGAGTTAGAGGGGTCCATTTTTTTTTCAGTGTTATAGTTAACCTGTTTTTCCATCACAATATTTTGAAGAGGCTTTCTTTGTTTTTCTTTGTATACCAAGTTTTGTTGAAGGTTTATTGTCCACACATCTGAAGGTATATTTCTGAACTCTCATTTCTGTTCCATTGGTCATTATCTATAATTGTCTGTTTTCATTTCAGTATGTTAGGGTAAATATCCAAATAACCTCATCAGGTTTAATTTCTACACCAGAAAGTCTCTCAGACATCGCTGTGTACAGTTCTGGATGCCCTAGAGCTCTGTCGGGCATGACTCCGGAGGCCCCCAGCACCTCTGGGGTGACCGGGTATTCCTGTGTTGCAAGTATTAAGCAGCTTTGCTTTCTTAAGCTCTTACATTGGACCACTGAGGTGGTTGGCTGAGAATTACCAGGGGGCCTCCGTTCCTCCTGAAAACTTCATGGGAACATCTCCCCTCGCCAGCAAAATAAAAATAAATTGATTAATCAGATTTAGTCAGGAAAAGCTATGGCTCCCATGTTTTTTTTTTCTCTCAGGATTATTTTGGTATTTGGGGTGTTTTATTACTCCATATTTTAGCAGTATTTGTATCAAATCACTGAAGAATCACATGGGAATTTTTCCCTTTTTTTATTCACTATTTGTGTTTGTGCTATTGGTACTCAATTGTTACTTCTAGTTGGTGGGTTGGTGCTCAAGGGTTACTCTTAGCAGAGGTCAGAGGATTATGCAGTGCCAGGGATTGACAATTTTTATTGT